TATAGAAAGGTCCAAGATAAAGTAGCATAAAAGATGTCAAGTGGAATTTTAAAGCAGTTGAACTTCTCTCTAGGTCCAGTTTCCTAATGTCCTGTTTCGTCATTGAGAAAGCAGCCATCAGGGAAGGGCCTGTGCAGTTCTCAAGTCTTTGCCACTCAGGGGAAAAGTGAAAGCCATTCATGATTTTGGAAATCACCCTGCCATGTCAGAACATGTCATGCATAGGATTCTTTTTTCTTTTTTTAAAGATTTTATTTATTCGAAAAAGAGAGAGAGCGTGAGCGAGCACGAGCAGGGGGGACGGGCAGAGGGAGAACAGGCTCCCCGCTGAGTAGGGAGCCCGATCCCAGGACCCTGGGATCATGACCTGAGCTGGAGGCAAACGCTTAACCGCATAACCGACTGAGCCACCCAGGTGCCCCCATGCATAGGATTCTTGAAGAGAGTACTTCCACAAATAGTGAATCCTAGGTGCTAACCTCACAGTGCAGAGTAATAAATCATCCACACTGTGGAGGAATATTGACTGTTCTTTTGGCAAAGGATGTAATTCCCTCCTTTCTCCACCCCCTCCCCCCTTATTCCAGTGATTTTTCTTCCATAGATGTGCAAGAAACTGCTCTCCAGCCAACAGAGAGCTGGGTCCAGATTACAAGTGTCATTTGATGGTGTCACTGCTCATCTGTCAATGTCATGAAATACTAGGATATCAGCTTTCAGGAGACAAATCCTGAATACTTCAACGTGGGGGAAATTTCCATGCCATGGTCCCTAACAGATAAATGTAAACTCCCCATCAAGCCACTCTTTCAGGTTAGCTTGAATATTTAGGAACTTGGGGACGAAAACGGCAACAGAGCTTCTTGGTCAGAGCATGTGAAAGTGTTTGCTCCAGTGTGAACAAAGTCCACCTGTTTTTGGCACTGAAGGCCGCCTGACAGAGACTTCTATAGTCTTCATTGGAAGACTCACTGTCAGAGCCCTCCAAACCTATGGCCTCATTCTATGAGCAGTGCTTTTGTTACCTGTGGATTTCGTAATTTATAGTTAACAATAATAGGAATCATCTGTGATACGGCCCTAGCAAGACAAAGGACATAACATGAATCTTATTTACTGACTTCCTTTCTCCCTCTCATTTTCCATCCCCTTAGTTTTTCTTTGATTTTTTTTCCCCATATGTGTTTTAAAGTTATTTTATCTGGCTCTATTATAAGTTTCTTTTGAAGCTGCTTTAAATCCTTTCTGGAATAAGTCACACTACCAACAAACAAATAAAAAACAAATATTCATTTGTAATAATTGGACCACCCAGTTGAAATATGCTGGTAGTTTTTCTCCTTGAAAGGGTAATAGCATTGTTGTTTATTTCATCATTCCCCCTTCCTTTCTTTGAAACCATTATCCTGTGGCTTTGAAAATTCCCGTGGAGGAACAAATAGTCCATTTGCTTCTAGAATTGCCAGCAAGTTCATAAGGAAATTGTATCAGAGGTAACTTGTGTATAAGGAACAAAAATGTATTTTTTTTTCCCTTTTCTGCCTTTCCTGAAGCCCTACAGGTCGAGACCTTGATCATACCTTAGTAGGTATTACATCGCTCAGGCAACTGACTGTTGGACAAGTTCTTCATCCTTCCATGAATGATGCCACAGCTCATCATGTCAAACTGGGAGCTGTCACTTGCCCGAATGTGGAATGGGTTGCAAAATGATGAAAACAGTACACCAATTTGGCAGATTTCAGGAAATGGCAAAAATTACAACGTGGTCTCTTTATTAACTATTTTAACATTCACTTAAATTCAAGAAGAGGAAAGGGAGAAAAATGATTTACACGCCAGAGATTAGGGTTGTAGAAGGAAAATGGAAATTGCAGAGGGTTCTCTCTTAGGTCATCTGCCAGACACCTGTAGAATTGCATTTCAATTATGTGTCTGGGTCAGGTAAAAACTGGCTGGTTTCTGACAATGGTCTTTCGGACGGGACATCACTGAGGAGGCAAGATGCTCAAGAGGTTAATGTTCATTTCCTATGAAAGGAACTGAGGATGTCAAAGTAAATTGGAAAGGATAGAATCTGGGCAGGCATCTGGGGCTTGGCTCACACTTCAGGAAAACGTTGTGTCTAGTGATTGCCCACAATTACAAAAAGCAGAGGAAGGGGGCCCCACTTGACAACAATTGAATTTCAGGAAGTTTTGCTATTGAACCAACATCAGGAGATGGATTTTCTTTTGAAAAAGTTCTCAATAAAAGTCAAGTCTTCCCTGAATTCATTATTCTAAAGACATCTGCATTTGAAAAATACTTAAAATTCTTCTCATATCAATGGATTTAAATGTTATTCACTAGTAATTCTTTGGGTCTTTGAAGCTTTTAGCTGAAGTTTTGGTTTATGACTCAGTGTTACCTTATGTTATTGACTATCTGTTGCTATCTTTCATGTCAGGAAGCTCTTCATCGACTGAAACTATTTGTTACGATATGCCATGCATTCCTCTGAAAAGAAAAATTATTTTCATGTGACTTGCTTCATCCATCCAAGCTTGTTTATTTATATTCATTTTAGAATACATCATAAGAGAGGGGGCAGTATAGATAGTATATATGAAATACCAGGATAGACAATTTGATTGATTTTTCTTATATTCTGTCCAAATGAATTCTACTCTTTTCTTATGCATATTCATAAATGTTATAACAGTTTTTGAAACAGAAGTACAGATATTGGCTTTAGGAACTCTCATGGTGTAAGAATATATTTTATTCTTTCTGGATTTGAGGGGTGATTTTTGATACATTAAAAAGAAGAGTCTTACATTACTCTCTAATTTCAGAGCTAAGTCACACGTTTATTTAGCAATTATTTTCGGGAAAAAAATGAAGATTTTCCCCCCCTTTTCAGAGCATTCTCTAGACCCAATGTAAACTTAATACTGTTTAAATACCAGCGAAGTCAGACTGTAGGGAAATCAGTCTGACTTCCCTGAGGGAGGGAATCCTCATCAGCAGTAAGACGGGTGATGAACGATACAGGTGGCTTTCCGGTCATGTGTTATACTGACTCATTTGTGTGTAAAGTGACTATAGCAGATGAACAGTCTCACTAGTTTCATTCTACATAGAGAGATTTAATGCTTAGTCTTGTCGCCTTAATGCTGAGTAGAGTCCGGTGTTGCTGACAGCAGTCTCTGTTCTTTTTATCATCCCAAGTCCCTCAGTGGGGATGGAGAAAGGCTTTTATAAAAGTATTTTACAGGACAGATCTTTACCCCTTAGAATGATCCATATGTTCACTAGCGCTCTTCTCAAAAGTTGCAAAGCAATGACGCTTGAAGAAGAGATTCAGAAAAAAAACACCCAACAACCCTATATTGCTTGCTGTGTTTTGCTTTTATATCATCCACCTCAGAGCATTTCTTTGGGCCTGTTTAAGTCTCAAGTTGTGGAAACATTGAATTCTCCATGAGTTCTCTAGAAGATGGAAGTATTTAAATAAAACTGTTGTAATTTGGGGGTCTGATATTTATACCACTCAATGAATATTGCTTTTACTGTATATTTAAACAATGTATTAAGGATGAGTGAACTGACCTACAGAGTGTCAGCCTGACACAAACCAGAGGTAGATGGAATGAGGGGCCCAGGCATTGTGTCTTCTCCTGGAATATTGTGCCATTTGCAAAAACACTGCATGTTTCACTGTTCACACAGTAAATGACCAGCAGTGAACCCTGAGGCAGAAATGAGTTAGAGATGTTGTGTAGGGGTGTACTAAAACTTGATGTGAAGGCCTAAGTATGACACATTTAGGAATTTCACTTTTGATGTTAGGATCGGAATGAAGAAAAGTGTGGAAGAATGTAGCAAGATTGAAAAACCGCCTTAAAGTATCTGTGAGGGAGAAATCTGTGATGGTTATGTAATGCCATTCTCTAAAAGAAGGAACATTTTTTTCATGTGAAAGTGTCACTTTATTATGCAGCAATAATTAAAACCTGACTCTTAACACGTGCATACAAATGAGGCTGGGGAACCTTTGAATCATTAAAAAAAGAAGACACCCAACTTTACAAACTGATAGATCTGTTTGCCAAAAAACATAGGTTCTCTCCTCAAATAATTTTAACCGTAATTCTTATTTGAAATGATCTGCTGAGATCTCATTTTTTTTCTGCTTGATGTGGGAATGGATGAAAGCTCTTTCCAGGCCTCTCCTCATTTTTTTCTTAAGTTGAAGGGTTGGCTGAAGACTTCCATGATGTTTCCTAAGCTAGCACATGGACTTGGTGGGAAGCCGTCTACAATGTTAGGTCAGGAGACAGGGCCAGAAGAAGGCAGGGCTGAAGGTTGAGTGACTGAGGAGAGCTTTTGGAATAAATCAGAAGTTAGAACCTCAGAGGTGAGGTCAAACTGGGCATCTCAGAGTTTGAGAAGATGGTTGGAGTGGACATTTACAGGTGCAAAATGAGTAGAGGTTACAGGCAAATCCATGGTTAGAGGATGCAGAACTCAATGTCTGCGGCAGCCTGGTGGAGTGGAGAAAGTAGATTTGCACTCAGGAATCCCAGGTAAGGTTTAGTGCAGAGGTTTAGGTGAAGCAGCTGAGCATAGGCAAGAATAATGACTTTAACTGTGGGCATTAGCCAGGCATCAAGGAAGAGACAGGCCCAGGAGATGAGGGAAATTTCTCAAACCCTAAACAGTTAGGCAGGTTTATACAATATCAGTTTAATTTCAGGACAGGGATAATCTTTCTTTTATTGTTTTAAAAAGTGTTTTCTTGGGGTGAGCTTAACTAATCCTCTGTTGGGACTTTTCTGTTTTAGTAATTCCTTTTTTTCTAGACAAAGGAAAAGAGGAATAAAGGGTATGGGTTGCTGTAATTTGTCCATGAAAAACTTAAAGCCTGATCAAGTTCAGGGGTGTAGGGAGAAGAATGAATTTATTACATAGGACCCAAGACTCATCTTCTGGTATTGGTCCCTAATCTTGCCTAGGAAAAGCGATGCTCTTGGATTACCCTGGAATTGAACTCCTGCTTTGTCTTGCATGATCCTCTATTGGTGGGGCATGACTCTGCTTGAAAAGATAGAACTCAAACAAGGAAGCATGGAAGATGGGTTGAATCTTGAAGGACCTTGGTAAGCCTTGCTATCATGTATGTTGAATAATCATGAAAGATCTGTAATAATCATGAAAGATCTGTAATATAGAGTTTGATAGGTCTAGAGTTTTCTAGTGACCTTTTAACCCACAGAAAACCATGTTCTACTCAACAGTAATGCTTGGCTTCGTCTGCAGAAACTTGTTTATTTTTTTCAAATTATGGGCCTACATAGAATGGATATTTGCACCGTTTTTTATATATAATTAATGATGGAGGGATCAAATAACCACTTGGGTATGATAAGCATAGGTTTGGTGGAGAAAACTGGCTCAAGAATAAGGGATTGTGGGGATAGATTTGTGTGGAGTGACATTGTGGGATGAAGGGTAAGGGTTGTTTTGGTGGTGAGCATCCTAGGAAGTATCTTAGGAACTAATGTAGTCTATGCTTTTCATTTTTCTCATGTTTATTTTGTTCACTCTAGGCTTTGCAATGATAAATACTAAAGTCTACTTTAGTCCTAGAAAGATAAAGAGAAGCTGTCGACTAATAGGGTACGGTGATGGTCTTGACTGGAAAGGATCTCTTTTAGAAAGCAGTATGTTTAACCAAGGATACATTCAGAAACATTTTATTTTTGGAAAAATATGCTTGAAAAGAAGGGGTAGTGATGATCTTCTCAAAGAACTATGAGAAAGATAGACAGTTTAGAATAAAAGTTTTCACAGGGAACTGATACTAACTTGCTCTTAGGTGGAAACAAACACATGGCCTAGAGGCCTGAGGTTTTCTATTCCAGAATCTTTGACTTTCTAACACAAGATATTTAGCTGAACTGTTGAAGGGTTAAAATTCCACAGCTGTCTTATTTATCTTACTGATCTTGGCTAAGCATTTGGAGCCTTAGAAGCTCCTTTTATTTTCTTCTATGTGCTTCTTCTGTATGTGATATTTTTCATGGGCCAGCAGCAATATTAAGCATCTTAAAAGGTGTCTTCTTTATATCTTTCTTCAGATGGTTTGTTTCTCACTAATGTGAATTTCTTTTTTCTTGGCTGTGAATTTTATGGCTATTATATTTGTTTTTGGTATGTATAGCATTATTTGGATGATGATCTCTTGGTCCAGAAAGGCAAGAAAAAATGAGTTTATTTAGGGTTTCTTGCTATACAGTTGCGTTGGTTGGAAGCAAAGACAGTCATGGGTTACTTAAAGCCTAATTCAAGTATGTGAAGCAGTAGACATCTCATTCAGGGTCTTACTCAGCAATGCTTTGTCAGTGTGTCCTATTTCAACCTTTTTGAATCTTTCCTAGAAGCTTGTCTCTGATTTTAAACTTCTTTGTTTTTTTTTTTTTTTTTTTTTTTTAAATTTTATTTATTTATTTGACAAAGAAAGACACAGCGAGAGAGGGAACACAAACGGGGAGTGGGAGAGGGAGAAGCAGACTCCCTGCCGAGCAGGGAGCCCGATGTGGGACTCGATCCCGGGACTCCAGGATCATGACCTGAGCTGAAGGCAGTCGCTTAACCAACTGAGCCACCCAGGCGCCTTCTTTGGTTTTTCTAACTGGCTCAATATGGACAGTGTCTGGCATACCCCGGGCTCAATGTTAGTAGAACAAAGACATGGGAGAGTCCCATGTGACAGGGGGTAAAATCAAATGTAAAAGCCAGTCTCATAATATGTTAGATAAAAGTGTACAAGAATACGAATATAATTTAAGAAAAGGGATCTTTGCCAAGAATCTAAAACAAAAATACAAGACAGTGATAAATAGCTTAATACCAATTGAAATCTCAAGATATAATGGAAGGATTATCTAGCTCTTATAAAGTTTCGACCAGAGAAGGAGAGTATGTGGACCAAAAAAAATTGGCTTTCAGGTTACTAATTCTTCCCACCAAGGAAGGCCTATGTATGTGCATAACTAAATGGGACTCTAAGCCACTCCTATGTTAAAAATGATAATATAAAGAAGTAATTGGAAGAACTGGCCTAGTTATGTTCAAGGTGGGTGACCCTGCATGACTTCCCTAAAGGAAGTACAAGGAAGGAATCTGGATCCAGTCAAAAGAGGGTAAAGGAGGAAGTGATGAGGTGGTTTTATAGAAATATATAAACCCAAATCTACGTGATTGGGAAATTCTGAGATACTGGAGATCTATTGTTTCTCCTGCTTCTCCAGTTTTAGTAGGAAACTAGTCATTTACTGAATATACATACTGCCTTATCTGTTCTTCTAATTGGCATCACTGCCTGAAAGAAACTATAGTAGGAAAAGGCAAAAGCCCATTCTCCTGGAGTTTCTTCTGGATTGGCTGAGTTTGGAGTAGTTTGTGAAGTCTAGTGGGTTGGACCTAACCTAAGTATGGATTAGAAGAGGTACTCAACAATATCCTGGATGTTTACACTGACATTTGGAAAGCAAATGTACTTTCAAAATTTTCATGTTGCATTCCATATCACACCTGATTTGCTTCATTATGGTACCACGGTCTGCATCAATATGAGTGACATTTCCAGATGTGATCTTTCAAGATTCTGGGATCTAGTTTCAATTATTTGATACCTTTGGTTTTTTTGAACTTATAATTTCATGGTTGGTTCTTCATGGGATTTCAATGTTCCATGGACTTCAGTGTGGGACTTCTAATTTGTAACCTTTCTTAGTCACTTTTATCCTTGGGCCAAGGAGTGATAATAGATTAAGGGATGGGGAGTCACATATTATTGGCTGAGTTCCCACAAGCACATCTGGGAAAAATCCACCCAAGAGGAAAGCTCAGTGCTTAAGCCCTACCAACAGAGCTTTAGAAACTAGCAGAAGGTCATTCCCTCCCATTTATCACTCCTAAAAGTGAATCTATGGAGTACATATGGAAACTGAGATTCCTTCTTGGAATAGTGTCTGGGGTTACTCAGATCACTGAAGGGGGGCAAGAAATTTTCTGGTCTCCCAAACTCTGAAGCTTATAATGATACCTGACTCTTCTCCAGAGGTCCCAATTTCAACTTTTTAGGAGGATACTCTCCCAAACCATTTGAGTGGCACTTCATTTTTCATGACTTTTTTCCGTAGCTATTTTCCCATTGTTAGGCCCTTTACTATCTACTTCCTCCCAAATCAGGAAAGAAGTTAAAAGTCCTTTTGTTCCTACTCCTTCCTCTTTCTTTAGTTCTTAATTACATCACTAGCCATTTTTATGTCCTAAATACCCAGTGTAGTTTCTGGAATTGTGTATTATTGGGCTCTCTCCCAACAATTGATAAAGCAGGACCCAGTTTCCACTTGGTTGTTATTTCCTTGGATAGCGATGACTGCCTTTGATTGGCAGTCTTAAAGAGGGATTGTGAAGGATTGAACATCCAAATCCTAACAAACTCCATAATCTACTGATTTCTTCTCAGAAATATATTCATTTATACTTAAAAAAAAAACCCCTCTTGTCAGAGATTGTCAAACTGAATCAATAGACATTCATGAATATCCATATTAGTAATATCTACCATTTCTTGAAGTTCCCTTTTATGACAGGAAACTGTTTTCTATATATTCTTTCTAGTCTTTATAACAATCATGCAAGGTGAGAAAATTGGGGTTTGGAGAGTCAACAGCTAATAAGTGCTGCAGCTAGTGTTCAAGGCAGGACACCCCAACTTCATCACAGAATGCCATACTGCCCTGTGAAACTCTTCTACACAGAACAGATACGGAACTTTGGATTCACACACCATGTGTTAACTGCTTGGGGCTGCTTCGGTTCATTCGATGACAACTATACTCATACAGATTTCATTGTATCCTAGCAGCCTAAAAGAGTTAATGAGTTTCCCAAACGCTCTAGCATTTAGTTAGAAGGGAGAAGTGGCAGAAAGTAGAAGCTAGTAATTTATTCAGTATTTTCTTTCTTTCTTTTTTTTTTTTAAAGATCTTATTTATTTGTCAGAGGGAGAGAGAGAGAGCACAAGCAGGGGGAGTGGCAGGCAGAGGCAGAAGCAGGCTCCCTGCTGAGCAAGGAGCCCGATGTGGGACTCGATCCCAGGACTCTGGGATCAGGAGCTGAGCCGAAGGCAGATGCTTAACCGACTGAGCCACCCAGGCACCCCTATTCAGTATTTTCTATACTGCCAGGCCCTTTGTTAAGAAATAGATTATCTTAGACTCACAACTTACTCTAAGGCAGGTACTTTTATTCCATTTTAATAAGTGAGGTAACTAAGACTCTGAAAGTTTAGAACTTGTTAAAAGTCAAAAGCCAAAGTCATTGTTAGTGGTGAGGACAGACAGGATTTGTACCCAAATCTGTCTTTAAACCTCATACATCACCCTTTCCAGTATGTGATAGATTGTGTCTTTAAAAAATCATATTAGAATTTATTTTTATTTTTAAAGATTTTATTTATTTATTTATTTGAGAGAGAGAATGAGAGACAGAGAGCACGAGAGGGAAGAGGGTCAGAGGGAGAAGCAGGTTCCCTGCTGAGCAGGGAGCCCGATGCGAGACTCGATCCCAGGACTCCAGGATCATGACCTGAGCCGAAGGCAATCGCTTAACCAACTGAGCCACCCAGGCGCCCTAGAATTTATTTTTAATTAGAATGATTTGAGATTAGGTTACACACACCATATCCCTTTATCTCCTCAAACCTTCATGTGTATATCTGAAAGAAAGGGATATTTTCTTATATAACCATGGTATAGATATCAAATTCAGGAAATTTAACATTGAGATGATATTTTAATTTGCAGTTCATATTTCAACTTTTCCCGCTGTCCAATAATGTCCTTTTAAACATTTTTTCCCTTTCAAAAGAAGATCCTGTCTAAGAGCACCTATTCCATTTAGCTGCTATGATCCTTGAGTCTCCTTTAATCTGTAACAATTCTTCAGCATTTCCCTGTCTTTCTTGGAACATTGACATTCTTGAACAAAATGGCCCACATATTTTATACGATGCCTGTTAATTTGGGTTTGTCTGTGTATTTCTTCATGATCAGATTCAGGATTAGCACTGTCAGCCAGAGGACTG